CCCCAAAACCCCAAAACCCCAAAACCCCAAAACCCCAAGTCACTATAGCACAATTGTTTTTTTCTAAATAACTTAATGAATCAATAAATTATAATTTTAGTTTAAGAATAAAATAAAATGAAAAAGACCGCCTTTTGCATTGCATTACAATTGCTTTCGACTGTTTCTAGCGCATCATTAATAAATGACATCACTACAAGATATCATGTTGATGTAATGAGAAACGACAAGAAGGAAAGAGAGAGATTGACCAATGAATGGTCTGGAGATTTGTGCATGTTCCAAATTGGTATCGCTAGAAACTCATTATCACTTAAAAATGTCTGTCAAAGGAAAGAAGATTAATACTATTTCAATGATAAGCTTGAAAACAGCATAACAAAAACGGATGAAAACCTAGGAATAGAACTCGAAATAGATCACAGAGACCATAAAAATAGTTTGGTTGAACTATAGCTCCTAAGACTAAGAGATGGTTCAAGACCTCATAAAGGTTAAAGAAGGCATGAGGAATATCATGATCCTAGACTGACTTTTGGAATCCATTTAAAGAATGGACATGATCTCTCTCTAAGAGTAAGTTTCCGCAAAGACGATCAAATATGGGAGCATGATCATCATATTGAGGACAATGGGGATTTATACTTCAAAACCCCTCATTTATATTCCTTTGAATGGTACAAAGATGATTCCTTCAAAATTAGAATAGATAACTAAGTCGTAGACAAAGGCTCTATTTCATAGAAATTTTCTAGCAAGGAGTTTAGATAGGCAGGATGTGGCTCAAACAAAGACATGCAACTTCCAAATAATCTTTACTACAATATTAACTACACTTTAGTTCGGGAACTGAATACTATGCCTAGATTTATTGGCAGTGATAAGAAATAGATCAATGAAGAATACATATACAAAAGAATTTTGGCTGAGAAGACAATGAGAAATGAAAACTACAAAGAACTACCTAAAGTTGAAAATAAGCTAAGTCCAAAGTAATCAAATGATCTTGGAGATACAGTATCGTCCATTGGCTTCCGTATGAATTCAGATGGAGGTGAAATTCATATAAGTAGAATCCTTATTGGAGAAATTAAAGAAGAAACTAAGTACAGAAATTGAGAGTATCCTCGAAGCTGATCTATTGTTAATGATTAAAGGTTTCTGCAATTTTTAATTTATCGCATAAATAATTTAAACTTCTATATTTTGATCAAATTTAAGTTATTTGGGGTTTTGGGGTTTTGGGG